GTTTTTAATCAATCCTGTTTGTCAGTTTGTAATGATACTTTTTATGCTTAGTTGTTCATGTCGCTTTTAATGTGTTTTTGTGAAGACGATTTACTGTTAACTCTGACCATGACAACGGTGTGTGTGTTGTGTGTTTAGGTGTTATATGCTACAGCAGTGGGTCATATAATATATTAACTGTTAAGACTGGAGGATCTGTCACCATCCCATGTTATTATGACAGGAAATACAAACATCAGAAGAAATACTGGCATTCAGAAATTGATATGTCCAATACATACACAAACACAACAGAGGAGAATCTGTCAGTAATTGATCATCCTGATCAGAGTCTCTTTACTGTGACTATAAGAAACCTGCAGAGCACAAAACATGATGGACACTATTATTGTGCTATGAAGATTGAAGGAAAAACAATTGTCACATATGGTCTTTATCTCCAGGTTCAATCTGGTATAAGATTTTGTAGTTATTTTAATCAATTCTAATGTCAAATATGTGTTTTATCCAATCAAATGACTGGTGTGTGTGTGTGTGTGTGTGTGTGTGTGTGTGTGTGTGTGTTCAGAACCAGATGTGTCTGTGGTGAGCAGCAGTGTATCTGGACATGAAGGTGGTGATATCAGTGTTCAGTGTTTCTATAGTTCTGGATATAAGGATAAACTCAAACAGTGGTGCAGATATAAAGATAAGAGCTGTTACACTGTGGGGAGGATTAACACATCCCAGAATTCATCAGTCCAGATCAGTGATGATGGGAGAAGATCCTTCACTGTGCTGATGACTGGACTGAGACTGACTGATTCTGGCTGGTACTACTGTTCTGCTGGAGAGGCACTGAATCCTGTTCATTTTACTGTAATCAAGGCAGAACCAGACAAAGAGAAAGACGCGTTAGTATTCAAACATTTCTCATTGATGTTTCTCAGAATCATCTTCCTAGAATTATTCTGTATTTGTCTGCATTTTGTCGTCATGCACTATTTCCTCGATTTCTTTTGCCTTTTACTCTAACAATCATTTCCTAACTGCCTTTGTGATTTTTCTTTAAAAGTTTTTTTGTAGCCTTTGCAGAAGTGAAACAGGACATCACATGAATAATAATAATACAACTGAAATCATTGACAGACCACAAAAGTACTACATTGTTTGAAAAAAAACCAACTATTAGGCTGAAATACATTAACAGAGTTCTGGTGAAAGTTTATTTCAGATATGGCTCATTTTCTGGTGCCTTTTATGCAGCCGAATTAGTCCCATATCTTTGGAGCTCTTTGAATGAATGAATGAATGAATGAATGAATGATGCATTTATATAGCGCTTTATTGTGTATTGTTGTACACCCAAAGCGCTTTACAATCATATGGGGGGTCTCTCCTCAACCACCACCAGTGTGCAGCATCCACTTGGATGATGCGACGGCAGCCACAGTACAACAGCGCCAGTACGCTCACCACACACCAGCTACAGGTGGAGAGGAGAGAGAGTCATAGAGCCAATCAAGTGGTTGGGGGTTATTAGGAGGCCATGATTGACAAAGGCCAGGGGGGCAATTTGGCCAGGACACCGGGGTTACACCATGGGATTTTTAATGACCACAGAGAGTCAGGACCTCGGTTTAACATCTCATCCGAAAGACGGTACTTTTTGACAGTATAGTGTCCCCGTCACTATACTGGGGCATTAGGACCCACGCAGACCACAGGGTGAGCACCCCCTGCTGGCCTCACTAACACCTCTTCCAACAGCAACCTAGTTTTCCCAGGAGGTCTCCCATCCAGGTACTGACCAGGCTCAACCCTGCTTAGCTTCAGTGGGCAACCAGTCTTGGGCTGCAGGGTGATATGGCTGTGACTTTGAATGAAAAGATTTTACAATGTTTCTGTATTTTCCACAGAAATAATGAACTCCTGACTGTGTGGCTTCTGGTTTCAGCTGTACTTCTGCTGTTATTGATTCTGATCAGTGTATTGATTCTCTTCACCTGGAGATGGAGACGGAGACCCGGTCAGTTCAACCTACATTTTTATTCGTTTGAAAATTCATTTAATTCCATGCCATTTAATAATTTATTTAATCAGCACAGATTGTATGTACAGTATATCAATTCTGTTAGTCATAAATTATTGTTTCTCTTTTTTTTTTTAAATGAAGAGCAAGACAAACAGCAAATCAGAGAGATAAAGGGCTGCAGAACCACTGACATGGTAAGTCCATTAGTTTATGAGAATCTATATCTGAAAATGTTTGTTTGACAGTTGCTTTGGTTTATATTTTAAAACTTTCTCTAACATCTCTATCTTTCTCTAAACTGTAAGTGTAATTTTCTGCTCTGTTTTATAAGACTTCAGCACTCTGTGCCATGTCTGCATCATGTCTGCAAATGTAGTAACTCACCCAAAACATTTAATTCATACTTCAAAACTTAGTTATTGTGTCAGTAAATTGGCCAATGCTCCAAAGTTTATTTGTCATCGTGTGAGCTGCACTGGTCAAAAGCAGACATAATACACGTCATAGATATTTATGAAATATACATGTAAGTCTGACTGATTTTGATAACTGAACAAATCATGCTGCATTGGGAATCAAGCAAGCAATGTGCATTTAGTTGTTGTACAAATTGTAGTAAGTCCAAATTACCATTTGCACACATGTGCTCAAAGGTGTGCAGTTTTCTTAAATGAATAAGAATTTTAAATCTGGTGTGAACAACAAATTCATTCTCATTCAGCAAATGCTAAGATCCACCTAGAGAGGTTTCATCGTCGAAACCAATCAAAAAACTTTTTAGATCAAAATAAGACAAGAAAATGCATTTGTTGTTTTTTCTCCTTACTTCTCATATGCATTAGTTTGGCCATGAAACCTGTAGTTTATTAAATGAGTCATATGTTGATTTCTTGATATTTTTATCTGTATTATTTGTGCATAAAATGCAGATCTACTCTAAACCTGAAGATCCTCCGATATACAGCACTATAAATGATGAAAACCCAAATGTAAGTAGACCATACATGCACTGACATGATGAAATTTCAGACATGAATATATCATGTTTATTATATAATCCCTTTTTCTACAGGATGCCAACAGGGACATAATCTACTACAGTACTATTGATGATGTTCCTGTGAGTGAAGCGGTGAAGCCTCCAGCAGGTGGAGCAATATACAGCATAATATACAGCACTGTGGCTCCACACTGACTGCAAACAGTGAGAAGAACACAGGAACAGAACCTTCTGACCAAAAGAAACAAAATCAGCAGCAGAGGACTATCATCACAACTTTTTTTAGTAGTTTTTTGTATTATATCTCTGCTTAATTTCTTCACTGTAAGTTTACTTGTACAGTGTTATGTTGTTTGCATTAATACAAACAAGCATATTTAAAATGAAATAAAAGTATTTTGCAGTTGTATGTGTCTTGGTTTCAGGTTCCTATCTTTGTCCTATCCCTTGTTTTCTAATAAGTATACACACGCAGCCCTGGCAGTATTTTCCAGTTTTACTTGCGGATTTAGTATACACACTCATTTTGAATGGCCGTCAACAAAGATGGTCTGCTCACACTGTATATATATCACACACTTTGTGGGCGGCTCATATATGTGTTTCGGCCTGCACTCTGTGGTCTGCTGCTGATCGGCAGTGAACAGCACTGTAAGTGGAGCAGAAGTCAGTGTTTCTGCTTGAATGTTTAAGCACTGCTTCTGTACTTAGACTTAGGCTTCTGTACTTTAAACATGCATTTTTTTGTTAATCAAATTTGGCCTTTTTTTAAATCATTTATACCAACGCCCATGAACCCCTTCCCTCAACTCCACCCCATTTTATTTGAAACATTTTAATAAAAAAATGTAAACAGAAAATAAACAACAACAAAAAATTTGTTGTGAAAGAGCTCAAATTATGAAATTTATTGAACAATAATAAAAAAATAAACTAACATTTAAACACAGTTTGTGTGCTTTAATCACTTTCACAGTTGTTTTAAATTAGTGGCGGATATAGTAAAATTTTGTTCAATCAGTCGCAGTAAACGGAGAAAGTCATCTGCTCGGCCTTAATTTTGTCATTCTTAAACATTTTGAGTAAATGTATCAAATTGAAGAAAATAACCTATTGATCCATATTATACCACTATATTCACAAATCAAATTAGAACCCATAAGTAAAATTTTGATTTGTTGTTGTGTTGTGTGAGGTTGCTGGCTGCAAAAGTGGCTACTTTGCTCACTTGCTAGTGTTTATGTGGTTTAAGGTGATATTTCTGCTCTTCCTCTGAAACAGGAAGAAGCAGAGACACTGCAAGAAGTAACCAGGTCCAGGTCCTCTCATGCACATGTACTCTGCTATAGACATGATTTACCCTCTGATCTCTCTGGGATTTTACTTCACACCACAGGTAAACTTCTGACAGCCGATGAAAATGGTTGAATATGTAAAATATATTTTTATATCTCAAAATCAACTTATTGTATAACTGATACAAGAAGTTTCTCAAAAAGTGAAATGATCACACATCATCTTCTCAAGCAAAGAGAGAAAGAGCTCTACTGAGCATGTGCTGATGAAGTGTCAAAATATGCTTATTTGTGATTGATAAAACTTAATACACTTGCCCCCAGATCCCGCTACTAGTGAAATAGAGATGTAAATAAAAGTGTGATGTAACTGAAAGAAGTGTGGAAGTGCATCAGTTACTAACTTTGCTTGAAATCTGGAGCAGGGTTTCTCAACTCTGGCCCTTGGGGTCCACTTTCCTGCAGAGTTTACTGTAGCTCCAATCCCACCTGCCTGTAACTTTCTAGTAATCCCGAATACCTTGATTAGCTTGTTCACATGTGATCTGTGAACCCCTGATCTAGAGTCTATCCTCAGCTTTTAGGAGGCGGCGCAATACGTTTAAGTGCTATATGAGAGGAAAAAAGGAAGTGCGGGAGTTACTACAAACACAGTTAAAACAGCTCAGATACGGGAAGAGAAACTTACACAATGGTCACATACGATAAAACAGAAATATTCTACATTTCAATCGGAATTTGGCTTTTTTTAGGTCAAGTCAAGTCAAGTCACCTTTATTTATATAGCGCTTTTAACAATACAGATTGTGTCAAAGCAACTGAACAGCATTAATTAGGAAAATAGTGTCAATAATGCAAAATGACAATAGTAAACACAAATTTTTCAGTTAAAGACAGTTCATCATTGAATTCAGTGATGTCAACATCCAGCTCAGTTTAAATAGTATCTTTGCAATCAAGTCAACGGTATCGCTGGAAATTAAGTGTCCCCAACTAAGCAAGCCAGAGGCGACAGCGGCAAGGAACCAAAACTCCATCGGTGACAGAATGGAGAAAAAACCTTGGGAGAAACCAGGCTCAGTCGGGGGGCCAGTTCTCCTCTGACCAGACGAACCAGCAGTACGGAAAAATCATACTTTTTATGCTTAGTTGTTCATGTCGCTTTTAATGTGTTTTTGTGAAGACGATTTACTGTTAACTCTGACCATGACAACGGTGTGTGTGTTGTGTGTTTAGGTGTTATATGCTACAGCAGTGGGTCATATAATATATTAACTGTTAAGACTGGAGGATCTGTCACCATCCCATGTTATTATGACAGGAAATACAAACATCAGAAGAAATACTGGCATTCAGAAATTGATATGTCCAATACATACACAAACACAACAGAGGAGAATCTGTCAGTAATTGATCGTCCTGATCAGAGTCTCTTTACTGTGACTATAAGAAACCTGCGGAGCACAAAACATGATGGACACTATTATTGTGCTATGAAGATTGAAGGAAAAACAATTGTCACATATGGTCTTTATCTCCAGGTTCAATCTGGTATAAGATTTTGTAGTTATTTTAATCAATTCTAATGTCAAATATGTGTTTTATCCAATCAAATGACTGGTGTGTGTGTGTGTGTGTGTGTGTGTGTGTGTGTGTGTGTTCAGAACCAGATGTGTCTGTGGTGAGCAGCAGTGTATCTGGACATGAAGGTGGTGATATCAGTGTTCAGTGTTTCTATAGTTCTGGATATCAGGATAAACTCGAAGAGTGGTGCAGATATAAAGATCAGAGCTGTTACACAGTGGGGAGGACTAACACATCCCAGAATTCATCAGTCCAGATCAGTGATGATGGTAGAAGTTCCTTCACTGTGCTGAGGACTGGACTGAGACTGACTGATTCTGGCTGGTACTACTGTTCTGCTGGAGAGGCACTGAATCCCGTTCATCTCACTGTAACTGAGGCAGAACAAGGTACTTTTTTTTCAATAATTCATAAATATTTTGCTACTACGTATGAAATAAAACACAACTAAACTTTATTTTTTACTTTTGTCCACAGGCACTGTCAGTGACAAAGTGTAAGTATTGAATCTGTTCTGTAAATGGCTTTTCTTTCATAATCATCTTTGTGGAATTATTCTATATTTGTATCTGTTTCTGTATATTTCATGACTAACAGTAATTTCCTCGTTGCTCTGGTGATATTCTTCCTTTTCTCCTCTTTTAAAAAAAGTAATTCTCAAGAAGAAGAATGAAACAGATTTAGAGGAACCACAAAAATACTACATGTGTATTGTTTAAAATAAAATAGCCCAATTAAGGCTTGATCTAATTCAAAAAAAGTTTAGGCTGAAAATACATTAAAAGAAGGGCTTTTAACATTTAATATTCAATCCGCGGATTGAATCTAAATCCCGGGTAAACTGAATCCTGGGTTATCTTGTTTCACGTTTCACACTGCTCATAATTTACAATCACGAGTAAATTATGAGCAGTGTGAAACATGAAACAACATTTTACACTGTGTATGCTACATGATTCCTAAACCCGGGTTAATGTTCTAATTTGCATAGTTGCGGTGTCAGTGTCACTGATTGGACGAACGCAGCACGCTACCTGTTTACGTAAGGGCTCTAGCATTGTGTGTGCTAAATTTTTCCCTGTATGGTCTTTTTGGTGGATTATAAAGGTACAAATAAAACCATCTCTTCACTCCAATTCACGTGCTTTCTGTCACCATTCGACATTTTTCCTCTCAAACACTGAAACCACTATTTATACAATTTCATAATTTCGTGTAAAAACGGTGCTGAACACGCTTTTAAATCTGAAACGTAGCCTACTTCTTCCATGGTTTTTACACATATCCAAAATGTATGTGATGTGTTTGTGTGACATATAAACATATTTGGTTCTCATATTTGTCTGTTGATGGTGTGCACTTTTTTCATTTTTCAGATGGCACGTGGAGCGTTTCTGTTTGTCACAGAACTAACGTTAGAGGAATTTTCTCCACATCGACCTGAAGGCTCAGATTATTATAAAAGAGTTGATAATAAGCTTTATATTCTGCATTTGCTTTATGCTTATTCAACAGACTAGACTTAAGGTATCTGTGTGTGCTAAATTACTAATGTCTGTTTTATTTTTCCATGCATGTCACTCTTTTCATCCAAATGGCAGATTTTTCTAATTCCTAGTAAAATAGTTATTTTTTCCTCTCTCTCTCTGTCATGATTATTCGAATCTATTCTGCTGAGATTGTCCATTATTATGCACTTTAACTGTGTTATTAAATCAAACTTAAAGGTGCTGTATACCACACTCTCCGAAAAAAAGGACAAAAGCTGTCACTAGGACAATAGGCCATCCTTTCAAAAGGTAGCCTACCTGTTTGTACTCTATATCCTCCTAAAGAATGCACCTAAAGTGTACATAGGCTAACAGAAATGGTACATATAAGCACTTTTTAAAAGGTCCCGCCCCGGTGACAGCTTTTATCCGGTTGAGAAATGTTATATGAGGGTAAAAGGGAAGTCAAAATACTCAAGAACAGAACAATTTCAAGATACAGGAAGAGAAACACAATGACCGCATATACAAAGAAAAATACATTCTACATTTCAATCGGCTTTTGGCTCATTTTAGGTGAGAGTGCATGTTTTGCTGTGTTCATTTCTAATAGATTCTGTATAGCATTTTGCAATGACAGGTTTATGCTCATCTGTTTATGTGAGGATAGAACAAATCAAGAAGTGATTTATTGTTGGACATATTGGACTGTATTTTGTTTAGGTGTTGAATGCTACAGTGGTTGGTCAAACCGTACATTAACTATTCAGACTGGAGGATCTGTAACCATCCCATGTCATTATGATGAGAAATACTCACAGCAGAAGAAATACTGGTTCTCAGTATTTGATCAATCTAAAACATACACAAACACAACAGAGAAGGATATGTCAGTAATTGACTATCCTAATCAGAGTCTCTTTACTGTGACTATGAGAACCCTGCAGAACAAACACACTGGACTTTATTATTGTGTTGTGGAGACTGGAGAACAACCACCGAAAAATATAATAAATGAGACTTATCTCAAGATTCAATCTGGTAAGACATTTTGCATTTGTTTCAATCACATAATGCCAAATTCTCTTAATTTTAAACACTCTCATTCCTCCTGTATTATATAATCTCAAATGACTGTGTGTGTGTGTGTGTGTGTGTGTGTGTGTGTGTGTGTTCAGCTCCTGATGTGTCTGTGCTGAGCAGCAGTGTATCTGGACATGAAGGTGGTGATATCAGTGTTCAGTGTTTCTATAGTTCTGGATATAAGGATAAACTCAAAGAGTGGTGCAGATATAAAGATCAGAGCTGTTACACAGTGGGGAGGACTAACACATCCCAGAATTCATCAGTCCAGATCAGTGATGATGGGAGAAGATCCTTCACTGTGCTGATGACTGGACTGAGACTGACTGATTCTGGCTGGTACTTCTGTTCTGTAGGAGAGGAGCTGAATCCTGTTCATCTCACTGTAACTGAGGCAGAACAAGGTACAAATGTTTCAGTAATTCATAAATGTTTTGCTACTACATATGAAATAAAACACAACTAAACTTACTTTGTTTATTTTTTACTTTTGTCCACATGCACTGTCCGCGACAAAGTGTAAGTATTTAATCTGTTCTCTGTAAATGGCTTCCCTTTCATAATCATCTTTATGGAATTATTCAATGTTTGTTTCTGTTTCTGTATATTTCATGACTAACAGTCATTTCCTCATTGCTCTGGTGATATTCTTCCTTTTCTCCTCTTTTTTGTCTTTGCAGAAATGAAACAGGAATTCTCAAGAATATTAATAATGAAACAGAAGGCACTGTAGAACCTCAAAAGTAGCCTACTATGTGTATTGTTTAAAATAAAATAATTAAAGCTTAATCTAATTCTAAAACCTTTCAACTGAAATACTACATTAACAGAAGGGCTTTTCACACTTGAAATAGGCCTATTTAATACTGAGTAATTCTGAACGCTGAGTGAACTGAATCCTGGGTTATCTTGTTTCACGTTTCACACGGCTCATAATTTACTCGTGATTAACAAGTAATCCTGGATATTCATAAACTGACATTTTACACTGTAGTCTACATGATTCCTAAACCCGGGTTAATGTTCAAATTTGCATATTTGCGGTGTCAATGTTTCTAACTGTGAAATGTACTTCTCCCATGGTTAAAAGCGGGGTTTAGCCTATATAACAACGATAAAATGGGGTTTGAAGGGGTCATATGATGCCATTTCAAGTTTTCCTTTCTCTTTGGAGTGTTACAAGCTGATTGTGCATAGATAAGATCCCTGAAGTTGCAAAGACTAAAGTCTCAAAACCAAAGAGATATTCTACAAAATAATGATCTTTAAAAAAGCATCATATGACCTCTTTAAAGCAGTGTGAAAAGCCCTGGTTTATATGAATAAATAATTTTATATTGAGTTTCTATTTTGGAGCGCTTGGAGCTTCGAAAGTTTATCTTTTGAAGATTTTTAAATGTTTCCTTATTTCCCACAGTAATGAACTGCTGACTGTGTGGCTTCCAGCTTTAGCAGCACTTCTGCTGTTACTGATTCTGATCAGTGTGTTCACCAGGAGGAGATGGAGACGGAGACCCAGTCAGTTTCAGCTGCACTACATATCTATTTCATGCCCTGATATTCTGACATTTATTTTTGACAGCACAGATTCTATATATCTATATTCAGTTAATGTCAGGTATTATTGTTTCCCCTTTTTTGAAATGAAGAGCAAGATAAACACCAAATCACAGGGAGAACCAGCAGCAGAGCCACTGACATGGTAAGTCCTTATAAGAAGCAAGTTATGAAAATGTTCGTATGATAATATAGGGTTCAATGGGGCTAAAGGAGTACAGGGTTTTACTTCATTCTCCTTGACACAACAATTCACCTCAGCACTGATCGCGATCGAAGACAGAAAAACATGATTATGCACTAATTTGATCTAATACTTTTTTTTTTCATATTTATGTAGCAAATGAGAATCGATAAAACTATTGACTGTATTTTGAGGCAATGTACCCTATCAGTTAATTTTTAGTATACAAGACTCTTTGTCTCCCTCTTCTTGGTAACACAGGGGATCCTAAACTTTTTCATGCTACTCAATCTAGAAATTGTTTGAGAGTCAAATATGAGAAAAGAAAACGCATTTGTTGTTTTGTCCAGCCTTCTTTCTAATAGCTTTATATCTTTATGCTGGTTTACCCAAGGAACAGGTAGGCCTAGCTAGTTCAGTAAGTGAGTCATATGTTTATTCTATCCACTTCATTCATCAGACTGATTCAGAATGGTAACAGATGAGATCATAAGAACGATTTATTAAAAGAACCAGCTCATAAGAGGCATTTTTCATAATCAGATTTTCGTTTTTACACAGTACTGCCACGTAGGAAATTATTAAATATAAATACAAAGTTATGACCAACAAACTTAATTGAATTTAATGAACTTATTTCATATTATATTTCTGACATGAATGCAACACTATTAGCATCTTTACTCCACTCACATATTTCCAGGACATGTAGCCTACTCTCTTATAATAAATGTTGGTTTCTTGGTGTTACTGTTTTTTATTGTTTTGTGTGTGTTTGTATGAAATACAGATCTACTCTAACCCTGAAGATCCTGTGATGTACAGCACTATAAATGATGAAAACCCAAATGTAAGTAGACCAGACATTAATATAACTATTTTACGGTGACCATAAATGCTCTTTTTCTCAGGCATGTCCTGGCCAGGATTTCTAAATTGCCTAAAATGTCCAGGTTTTGGCTTTGTTTTCTTATTTGCTTTGCTTTGATGGCTCTCTATAGATCCTGCCTTCTTGCATGCCACGATTGGTCGATTAAGTACAATGCCTGCACACTATTGGTCAAACTACTTATGAGTCATTACCTTCAGCAAGTATGCAAACAATAGGAAAACAAAGCCAAAACCCAGACATTTTAGGCAATTTAGAAATCCTGCCAGGACAGGTCAAAAAAAAAAAAAGAGGATGTATGGTCATGCTAAACTACTTTGATGATTCAAAAATATGACACATTAAGTAGAAGACTTGATCATGTTTAATTACGATCCCTTTCTCCACAGGATCCCAACAAGGACATAACCTGCAGTACTATTGATAATGTTCCTGGGAGTGAAGCAGAGAAGCCTCCAGCAGGTGGAGCAATATACAGCATAATATACAGCACTGTGGAGCCACACTGACTGCAACAGTGAGAAGAACACAGGAACAGACCTTCTGACCAAGAGAAACAAAATCAATGGTGTGGGTGTGTGTGTGTGTGTGTGTGTGTGTGTGTGTACCTACTTAACCATATTTTGGGGACAAATTTGTACCCAAAAGTGAGCTAAACCTGACAAAATCTCCAAAAACCTCCCTTTGGGGACGTCCTCATTTGTAAAACTCGTATAAAAATAAAGTAAACAAAGTTTTTTTTAAATTGTAAAAATGTAAGGGGTTTCCTGTAAGGGGTAGGTTTAGGTGTAGGGCGATAGAATATACAGTTTGTACAGTAAACACCATTACGCCTATGGAATGTCCCCATTTAGATAGCTAAGTAAACGTGTGTGTGTGTGTGTGTGTGTGTGTGTGTGTGTGTTTGTGTTTTTTTTAAAGCCTGTTCTACTTTATTTGCTCATGGAGTGTGAATCTAATATTTTATATTAAATTACCTGTTATGAACCTATATGAACAGATGTGAGGGTCAAGACAATTGAAAATTCAAAAGATTATTGTAGATCCATAGTTCATAACTAGTCCTACTTTGTCAGAAGTACTCTCCTGAGAAAATGTGATTGTCTTTTAGCAGTACATAGTTTTAGAGTCTGTTTAAATACTTCACTGTAAAAATCGTTTTTTGTGTACTTGTACAATGTTATTTTCTCTGTTTCTTGTATTATTACAAACAATACAATTTCATGAAATAAAAAGTATTGCAGTTGTTTGTGTAAAAAATAATAATAATTTGACTCCTTTCCCTTTCATTTAACTGATCTGATGATCTGATGTGTGTTTTGTGGTTCAGCTGTGCAGATTCTTTTATTCTTTGCTCAGAAGTTCAGCACGATCATTACAGGAAACAGGATTACAGGAAAATATATATTAAAGAAACTGGGATTGTTGTTTTTTTAATATATAGTTTTTCCATATTTCTCTGCTATGAATTGTGTTTTGAAATCCTTTGAGGTCTAACATATTTAAAAACATGGACAGTTTAGATTTTGTATGATCATCAGTTAATCGTACTTGCATGTTCAAAATTATTTTATACCAACCCCCATGAACCCCTTCCTCAACTGGAAAAACTGAACACATGATAAAACTAAAAGTTAAGCTAACAGTTACACACAATCGTTTGTGTGTGTTGATCATTTTCACACTTCTACAATGTAACATTTTGTTCAATGTTTGTTGGTTCAATAAGAAAGGGGCTAAAACCATTAAGTGTGAGGTATCTAACTGCAAAGTGGCTACTTTGCTCACTTGCTAATACTTATGTGGTTTAAGGTGATATTTCTGCTCTTCCTCTGAAACAGGAAGAAGCAGAGACACTGCAAGAAGTAACCAGGTCCTCTCATGCACATGCACTCTGCTATAGACATGATTTACCCTCTGATTCTCTGGGATTTTACTTCACATCACAGGTGAACAATTATAATACTCTCTAAATGGCATTATTAAACTATTGTATGATCTTTTTTTAACTTCAATTGTTAAAATTGTTTAACTTGAATTATTTAAGCTAGTAATTGTTCACTATTGCAACTTTTCCATAATGTGCAGCTTATGGATGTTTACATCTTTCCCTACACTTAATCTTGTCCACAGATGGTGCTGGAATTCAGACAATGAATATCAGAGTGAAATCTGGATCACCTGGAATTATTCCATGTCTGTATGATAAAAAAACATAAAGAAAAACGTAAATACTGGTGTCAGGGGTCACATTTGGTCTCTTGCAGTATATTGGCATATGCAAATGAGACAGGAAAATATTCCCTCACTGATTATCCAGCCCAGAGTATTTTTACAGTGCAATGGAAGAATATGAAGACCTCAGACTCTGGATATTACTGGTGTGCTGTGGAGATCGGTGGCAAAAGAGACACTGGTTATTATTTGTATCTGACGGTACAATCAAGTAAGAATATCTTTCCAAATTGTGCCTTTTCTCAGAGAAACATGTTTATGCATTTTACTGAAATATAATAATGTAGCTATAAGTAATATTATAAGTAATGTAAAAGGTTGTTGTTGGGTTATGTGTGATAGATATTTATTATTGTACACATAAATAAAGAAAAACTGAAATGTCACTGACATGACGGCAGTGACTAATGAAAAGCAGATGGTTCAGTTACATTATACACATTATACAGTGCAAGTTTAGTTTATGTTAAAGTAAACACCAGTATACTTACAGTAATAAATGAAAACTAATAATAATAATAATAAATAAATAAAACATACATACGACTACTTGAGTTTATACCACTACACCCATAAATACTTAGTTTTGAGAGATGAACTAACGATTTTGAGCAAGCTTTTCTGGTAATCCATTGTGTGGTGCAGTTTGTAAGAGTTGTTTGAGAAATGCACTTACTGGTTTGCAAATGTTAAAGGGGTCATATGATGTGATTTCAATTTATCCTTTCTCTTTGGAGTGTTACAAGCTCTTGGTGCATAAAGAAGATCTGTAAAGTTGCAAAGACTAAAGTCTCAAATCCAAAGAGATATTCTTTATAAAAGTTA